CGCGCTATGCTCAAGGTGCAGCACATGTGTTGATACCGAGGTCCTGCAGCGAAACGAACTCAAAAGCAGAGAACAATCAGAAGTTAGAGAGCGCAGATAAGTGGCGCATTAGGCTACGAGGGCGTGTAGCTAGCCAAGCGAGCGACAGTGCAAGCGGAGTATGGAAAAGCCCGTAGGCATCACTACCCTGGCCCCTTCCCGAGCACTTTGAGCGGAGAAAAGTGGCCTGCTATTGGAATTGCGAACCCATTCTGCCTACACGCAACAAGACCCAGGATCAGCCGAGGTGGTTGTACAGTTTGTCTGTGATCGTTGTGATCTCAAACATTGCAGTTTTCACAAAAGATGCATGGCTCACCCACCCCATCGCTCCCCTCCCGTGGAAAATCCCATGCCCTGGCGTCACATGTTCCTTGTACACTTCGATGTTTGCTAACCGCTGTCCTCTAGCTGTCAGCGCCACTTGGTTTAGCTACGCCATACAGTACGACGACGAGCTTTTAAAGGTCCTGTTGCGAAATTGCTCCGCTGCTCCTCGCCGGTTACGTGACATCTTGAACTTTTGTGCATGGTCCTGTTACGAAACCCTGTGACGCAGACGGATAGAGGGCAGCGGCTGCCAAAGCATCGAAACGTGCAAAAAACGTATGGCGAGCCAGGAAACGGGATTTTTCAAGGGGAGGGGACTCCGGGGTGGGTGAGCTACTTATAGTCGGTGAAAAGCTGGAGTGAGCGAAGTCACAACGGCCATAGAGTGCCATGCGGACGAGAGAGTGCAGAGAAAAAGAGAAGATCGACGCGTTCAAAGGGATTGAGTTCAAGTTGTCCGTGGACCCTCCCCTCTCTCACACGAGCAAGTCCACTATTGGCCTAACGAGTTTTTCCAGTACCCAATCTCCTAAGCTGATTGGACAGCTTTAGCTTGAGTTTCCTTCCAAAAGGACAGAAACACGAATGAATCGTGAATATTTCTGGTTGGAATGTTTATGTTTTGGCGAGAATGCAAACGCTTCGAAAGATAATCATTTCGCAGAAGGCCGCTGACACAGCTCTTCCCCTTCGAATTTCTGCTGCATCGTTCATGTTCGCTTTGCTAGAGGCTTCTGCCCACTGATTACCTCACGACTTCAATCGTTCCGTCATGCCGCTACCTACTAGCTTTTTACCATATACCATTGTTTTTTTTCGATTTTTGTGAGCAGAAATGCGACAGTGACGAAAACGTGCAAACCATTCGCACCCTGTAAACCACAGTTCCGTTGAGCGCGCTTATTGCTACTAAACTTCTCACAGGGTTTGCTTGGCACATCACAGAAGAAGAACCACTGAGTAAGCCGAAAAGGGACTTGTATGCCTCCACGGATACGAGTCAGATGTGTGCCAGTCCGGACCATCCTCTTTCCATCCTTTTTGTGGCAGTCGCTTCATCGCCGGACCAGCAGGCTGTAGCACTCGCTATGAAAGAACGTTGCAGCCAAACGACTGACTCATCAGAA